AGGAAGCAAGCAGAGTGAGTGCCAAGGTGGGGCTGCCACTGAAGGCCACAGGCTAGGGCTTGAGAAGACTTTTCTGAGTTGAGGTATTGGTGGTAGGAGCAGTCAGGCCACACAATGGGAAATATGGCTTGCCCTCCAAGTGTCCATGCACCTCCCCATCCCAAGTGTTTGAAAAAAATTATCATTATTATAGTGTGTATATAGTATGTCTATGTGTATCTATACATACATATTGTATGTGTATATTATATTGTATGTATATATATATATATATATATATATATATATATATATATATTTGTGTGTGTTGTTTTGCTTGATTCACATTTTTTTTTAATTTGGTGTGTTTCTGGAGGTTTTTAAGTGTATGTAGTATTATGAATATGTAGTATGTAGAGTATAGAGACCAGAGAAGAACTTTAGGTATCCTGCTTTTTCACTCTCTATTTTGTTCCCTAAGACTTTTTGCATAGCTGTTGCCTGTTTGTAAATTTTTACTATAGACATCCCTCATTAGGTTATTCTGTAGGTTATTTGGATATATTGGGGATCACTTGTGTGTATTTAATACAGGTTTGTTGAATAAGTTCCGGAAGAGAATGTAATCACTTCCAGACCTAAGAATCTGTGCTTCTAAGACAAATCAGGGACATTAACTTATTCATTCAGAAAACAGTTATCCACTATGGACATGTACCACAGTTAGTGGAAAAAATCACTGATTACCCAGAATATGGGTCAGCAAACATCTGATGGCAAAGGGTAGCTCATTAACATTTTATACTGCATAGGATGCAGGATCTCTGCATTTTTAGCATGGATGCTTCCATGGACAATGCAAAATCAGGCCATTGTGCCTTTCCTATATGTATAACATACAAAAATACTAAAAGAATCATAGTTGCTCACATAAAAACTTATAAAGTTACAATAATCAAAACTGTTTGACACTGGCATATTTAGGGATACACATATAAAGGGACCCAAGGCAATATGATGCTCTTCTCCCCATAATACCCAGAAATCAATTTGAAATAAATCAGGGATCTAAATAAAATTCTAAAACTATAAAATGTCTTCAAATGAAATACAGATAAAATATTTTTGAGTTTGTCTAAAATAGGCCACAATTTCTTATATCTCACAAGTAAAGTGGAAACAACCAAGGAGAAAATAGTTGAGTTAATTATAACTAAAAACAGTTTCACCTCTAAAGAAACAGTCGGAAAATTTAGAGGCAGCGCACATAGTGAGAGAAAATATTTACAAATCAATGGCATCCAGAATATATAATGAACTCTTATAATCCAATAATATAAACATGGTTAATACAACCATACAATGGGAAAACGACATAAACAGTTTTTTGTTTTTTTTTCGAGAAGATACAGTCTGTTACTACACTGATGTCTACATGGGTACTTCTGACTAGTAGCTATCAGTGAAACAAATATGTCATGTTGTTTGGAATTTACTGAGGTGCCTAGAAACAAAAGATATAAGCCACATTACTAACACCATAGAAATTGCTGTAAGAATTTCAGAAATTTAAACACAATGTTGCTACATGAACAAGCAATTTTGATTCTAGTTGCATAGGCAATAGAAAGTCCTACATGTGTCAAAGATTTGTGGAACAGTGTAAAGAGAAGCTGTATCTGTAAAACCCAACAATTAAGAGTACATGAATGCCCATACAAATGACATATGCATAAACAAGATACTGTGCATTCATAGGTGGAATATTGTTTGGCAATGAAAATGAATTTCAGGTATAATGTACAGCAGTGTTGATTATCCAAAAGACACTATTTGGAAACATCCATTTATCTAATATTGCATGTAGTATTTAGCTTACTTAAGTGTAAATAAATACTTGTATACTTTGAAAGAATGTATATTATAATTTATGATATGGAATTTTTTCATAGGGAAATAGGCAATGAAACATAGAATGAAACTATGGATTCAAGGGAGGAGAAAGGGAAGTATAAGAGAAAATGGTGTCTGGATTAGGCTAAAAGGATGAAACTTGGATGAGAGAGTCACAACCCCATTTGAGATGCGCATAACAAGCCTGACAATGCAACTTGGAAAGCAGAGATTTCAGTTTGAAGACAGAACATGTAAAGGATGGGAATTAAAAGTTAGAACACTTGCTTTAGAGAATGACTAAATCTAGTAAGGGCATTGAAGATGATGCTTAAATAAGATACTATATTATTATGGAAGGGAAATTAATGACAGACAATTCAGTCACAGTATTTTTCTGCTTTTCAATCATATGATATTTGAATGTGCATTTTATATCAGTCATTTTGGCTATAAGGTTAATAGAATTATGATGCCTGGGAGCTTGGAGGCAGAGAGATTCTGAGGAGGCAGACAAAGAAAGAAAATAGTGGAGTGGCTATGTAGAGAACAAAAGACAATCCAGTCTATGGAACTGGATTGCACACAACTTCAAATTTGCTCCCCATAAATATTTTACATCTATGGTTCAAATAATTTCTCAGACTCAATTACATTACAATGCCTTTTTGCTCATCTGCCTCATGGGCCAGTAGGTCTAGTCAATGGTGGGAAGGCCAGGCAGAATTCTGCATATTTTTTTCTGATTAACAGAAATAAAATCATATGATGGTCATTCTGTTACCTTTGCAAACTGCTAAGTGGAGATTAGAAATTCCCTATGACTTGTAACAGCTCACAAATTTCATCCTGTTTATTTAATCCTACAGAACCCCAATTTGTGATCAATTTAAGAGACTACAGTTTATATAACAACAATGTTGTGCAGATAAATTGGATCATATATCTAACACACATACTAAAGTCTGTGGGGCTTAAGAAGATATTAAACACAAGAAAATTATTATAATTATTCCATAGTAATTATTTATAGTATATCCCAATTCCAGATGGCAGGTAGACCTGGCTAATAGTTTTATCCACCAGTATAAATTAGGAATCTGTTTCAGAGAGAACAAACTAATGTAGCTTAAAGCCTAGCCAAAATGTTAGTAGCAGAAATGAAGTAGACTCATTTCTGGTACAACTTAACCTTGCTTAAAATCTATTGAATCTTGATATATTCTAAAATGGTTCTTGGTTCTTGGTATATTTTCTTTGGTTACTGTAAGACTCTTCCCAAACTTCCTGCCTCAAAAGTTTCCAGTGTGTTCTTAAGAAAAATCCATGTGTACCTTATTGGGCTGTTGGCAGCATCCGGGTCTTTGGCATGTACTCTCCCAACCACAGTGCCAGCAGCTGCATTTTCTTGGACTTCATGGATATAACTTGGGGCCAAGAACATGGGGGGCTCATCAGCATCTTCTACTGCAATCTTGACTGTCACAGTGTCCTTGAAAGGTCCATTACTGATGAACTTCGGATCAATGTGTACATTGGTGGCCTCTACCTTCAAGCTATATGCTCTTTTGGTTTCAAAATCTACAGGCTGGTAAGAATGAAGAGAAGATTGATAACCAGTTCCTTGAAAGAATAATGGAAGGTCTTTACCTGATTGGTTCACTGAGTGAAGCAAACAGTTTCTCAAAGAGAGGAAAATCCACGCAGATTCAATATCCATGGTTTCAAAATTTAGAATAATTAGCCATTGAAACATGGTGCAAGGTGTACATGATGCAAAGAACATGGCAAATAATGAAGCACCATCCCACATAAAGCAAAACTTACTCTCTGCAGCCCCCAAGAATGGAGATAATAACCATTTTGTGCCCACTCTGTGAAGTGCTACAAATCTGGTAATAAAAAGACACATTGTTCCTTAGCCAAAAGACAAAGGTGTGTTTTATTCAACAACTGCCTCATCCTGCTTGCTACATAACTACATAATATCCTAGCTTCATCATACTGATAATTTCTTTTGCTTAGTTATGACTAGATTGTATTTCCCAAAGGCTGTGACCTTATGAGCATATACATCCAGCTATTTATCATATATAGTTTATGGATAGACTTTTGTCGGTAGAGCTGTTAGATAACATTAATTTATTCCCCTCTCCCATTTTTCATGTGTATGTATGTTTGAATGCCTTTCAGACTGACACAGGAAGTTTTCTTCAATATTCTTCCACCTTATACATGGATATGCACACAAGGCTTCTCAACTGAACTCAGAGCTCACTTATACTATGCCACTAGTCTAGCTAGACAGCCTGCTCCAGGATTCCCTATCACTTCCTTCATAGCAGTAGAACTCCAAGGAGACTGTTCAACTAACCCATTTTCTTCAGGGTACCTGAACACCTGTCTCTATGCCTACTGTTAATGCATCAAGTGCTCTAACCATTGAGAGAAATCTCTCCAGTCCTACTTACATACTTGACATAATTTTGTCTTCTTGAACATCTCAGGGATATTAAAAAAAAAACATATCTGTTGTGTTTCCCAGTCCTCTTTTCAAAAGATGTTCACTGCTTTCTAGTTAAAATGCCATGCCAAACGTTTGTTCTGAGTCCATTCTGTATTAGGTTACCTTCTCTTAGGAATAAGTGATTGACACCAAGACAGTCCTTCCTTTTGGTCAGAACACATAAATGACAAATTGGTCCATATACAGAATAGCATGTATAAGTAGTATGTATTTTTGCACAAGTAAGCAAAAAAATAAAACCTCAACAAGTAGCATTTGAATGGACACAGTCATAGGGAGATTGATGGTGAGTGACCTTTACTTCCATATAAGAAATACAAAGAGTTAGCAAAGGGTGAAAAGCAAAATTGTAGCACAAATGTAAGCTCTAACACTTGTAAACAACTTTCTCAACAGTATTCCAATGAGGCAGAGCCAATAAATACTTGGAACTAGCTTGATCTTTTGAGGTTGGCATCTGTCTTCCAAGCAGTTGTCATTTGCCCAGTAAATACTTATTCTAAATGGACATACAATGACAAAGCTTAGACTGACCCAGTTCTGCATTGCTCCGGACCCAAGACCATGATCATTTCAGCTTAAGCATATTCAGCATCCTTGACACTGTTACCTCCTACTCTCATTTCCCTGCAATCAAGAACCACTCCCTTTTCCTACTGCTAAACATGCCCTCTAATTATCCATCATTCTGTCTTCCCAGGTGGGACCCAATAGCTCCTGGATCTGTGAATGTATTGTGAGAAGCAGCTGAGCTGAACAAGGGGGAGCTCATGGACCCAGACTGATAGCTGGGAAACCAGACTGTTCCAGACCCCCTATACGTGGATGTGAATTTGAAGGTCTGGGAAATCTATGCAGCCTCTGGTAGTGGATCAGGATTTATTCCTAGCACATGCATGGACTCTGGGAGCCCACTCCACATAGAGGAATACTCTCTCAGCCTAGACATATGGGGAAGGGTATAGGCCCTGCTCCAAATGATATGACAGAATTTTAAGATCCCCATGGAAGGCCTCACTCTCCCTAGGGAGCAGAAAGGGGATGGGATATGGGGTAGGCTGGTCTTAGGCAGGGGAGGAGGAGAGGGAGAGGGAACTAGGATTGACAAGTAATACAAAATTGTTCCTAATTTAAATAAAATGTGTAGAGTAACATCAAAATAAAATTTGAAGTAAAAAATATTTATTTTTCAAATTTATAATTTAAAATAAATTATATTTGCAGATTGGCAATACAAGACTGCTGCAGTTTCTCAGAAATCTCTGTAACGACTAGACTGAATCACACAGTGAAATATAATCACTCTGAAACCAGGTGATTTGTAATCAGAAAAGATGAAATTTCTTTCAGTTAACATTCCTAAAGCAAAAGATATATATCCAAGTACCCAGATACATGTTATCACTATAAATTCCTGTCTGTGTTGAGTAATATGTGGTCATACTGCAGTTTAACCAACTTGCTTTATCCAGATAATTCCATGGTATGATCTCCAGGTATTTGCAATGGTTTGTCTAGAACATCTTTTTCCACTCTTGTGAGACACTCCTAAGTGCTCTGGAAGTTAGCACGGCTTCATTGCCTTTAGACGTCCTGCTCAATAGCCCCAAACAGCTGTGTGTGCTCTCAATGTTGCCCTTTACTACTAACAATGAAGCATGCCCAAGGAATCTACTGAAACTTGTTGGTTTTGGTCTCACTATAGCTAGGAATGACTGCATCATGTAGTTACATGCATCAATCATTTTAGTGAAGGCACAGCAAGGCTGATGACTGGATAACATCTAAGTATTTACTTAGTTGTTCCCTTTCTCTTTCCAAGCATGATTTGAGGTAGTTCCCCATGTGGACATTTATACTCATGTTATATGAATAGTTGAAATAAAACTAAATGAGGCAACACACTGCATAAGCCATAAAATTCTTAATGCCCACCCCAGCTTACTAATCTTCACCTCTGAAAATTCTCCCTCAGGGATTTATTCAACAGAAAGTGCAAACAAACAATATTGAAAAAGCATAATATTTGTTAGCTATAATATAAGGTTATATCTAATCAGGGGAAATGTACACATAGAACAGCAAATCCAACTGTGAGCTTTTATTAAGGAAATCACAGTCCATAGACAGGATGGGATGTAATGTTGTCATTAAAAATGATTATGTGTGTTATATAACAGCAAGTAAAGTGTTTATGATGTGACATTAAGTTAACAAATCAGATCACCCTATGACTGGAAGCAAGCAAATGTTATATATCCACATCTATGTGTACAAATACACAGACCATAAAAGTAAAAATAAAAAAGTAGACATAACATTGATTACAACAAGGAACGCGTCACATGTCTTCTATTTCTATTCTCATACTACCTCACAAGTTTATTTGGTTTAAAATAAACATCTTAGAAGCTATGCAGGCACTTGTTTATAGTGGATGGGATTTCTACCTGGCTCAGGGTACTGTAATGGACAGATGAGTGTGCTTTCCTTCCTAAGAGCGCCAAGCCCCCTAGAGGCTAATCTGGTTTTACATTGTTCTGCACATAACTGCACAGAGAGTGGTTAAATACTCAGAACAGCTTTTCTTCTTTGCCATGAAACTCTAAACCGGGATCAAAGATTTACAAACATTATTTTGGAAAGGATTTTAAAGGAGTCTATCAAATGACTGTACCATGTGGTCATGTACATTTACCATTTTGACTATGAGCAGCAAGTTTAAAATCTATTCCTGTCCTTCCAAACATGACTGGGGGAAGCTCCCCCAATCCTCAAGGACCCTGACATCTTCTCTTCACTAGTTTTATGGCACATTCAGCCTTTTGAAATGCCCCTTTTCCCCAACAACAGATTGTCTACTGTTCCTACTGTGTTTGTCCACTCTCAGTCTCTTCCTTATGCCCATTCTCTCTGAAACCAGTCTTTCCTGAGCCCTGTACTTGCTTTCTTCTTGTCAAACTGGGAAAGTGCTGTTCAGCTGTCTGGAATCAACTTAGGATGCATTCCTCTTGGAAGCCATTCCTGACACATAAGGGATGGTCTCATACATATTTTTTTTAACATAATTGAGTTTTCAAATGGGGACTGATTTTCTCCCAGTCACTCCAAAGGTATTTGGTAAGAACTAGAGCATTATTTTTAACTATTATACAAAAGGTGTGGTGAGAGAAAGTATATGTCTATTAACCTGTACACAAAGAAGGTCCCGGTTCTGTGAAATAGCCTGCATTGTATAGAATATTCCCTATAAGCATGTTTTATCAAGCCGGAAACTTCAATAATGAAAATGCTGAGGAAACTCCTCTCATCATAACCAACTTTTAACTGAACTCTCCTGTTAATCTGTGTTTCCCTGTGGCTAGCAGTCAGTCTCTTACATTTTATATTCCCAGGTTTACCCTAAACAAATGAATCAAGAGATGAATGAAAATGTCATATTAAAGAAAAACTATCTTCAAAATATAAAAATATTTCTATGATCTTTCCACATACCTTTATATTATTAAATTGTGTGTAATGTCCTCCAAAAGGATCCATATTTTTAGTCTACTAATTTAACATTTAATTGCTTTATTCTGGTGGGCATTTGGAACTTCATGGCTCAAGTTTAGACAAAGCTTCTCTTCCAAATTAAATAACAGCCTGCATTGTTTTAAATCTAAATGTCAGTACTTTGTAAAAGCTTATCCTGCTGCCTATAATAAACAATGAATTGGGGGAAAGTGCACAAATTAATCATATGCAGAGAGCTCATTTGCTATGTATGAGTTTCATGGGAGTGATTTAAATGTTTCAGGATTGTAGAGAACAGTATGTGTTTATGCCCTGAATACACTCAAAACAGGTGACAACCTTTGTATAACCAACTACCCAATTACTTGAACAACAAAGGATGGGAGGCAGGAATCGCTGATGTCAACTTTCATATGCCAGTGTCATACAGGAGGGATAGTAATATTAATTAACAAAGAAAGTTGACAGCTACACACAGTTCACAGTGCTACTTTTCAAAAGAGACACCAGAAAGAACAGCTTTCCATCCTCTTGTGACTGATAATTAGACAACTTTGGTCATGAAACTCATAGTCAGGAAGGGAAACTTTTGTAAATATCTGAGCGTTAACTCAATTTCCACTTGAGATTTCATTGCTCTTTCAGTATAGTCACCTACCTTTTCTTAGTTCTATGTCCCCTAAGTGTTTTCACCCACCCAATATGCATTATATTACAGTGAAATGTCAGCTACTCGTGTTCCACCTGCTAAGAAAGTCTCCCAGGGCCAACTTCTCCTCTCTAGCTATTAGCTTCTTTATTGACTCTTCACTTTAATTTTTTTTTCTCTCAATGTTACAATCCAAACTTTTCTATCACACCAGATAAAACCAAGTAGAAAATGAATGCTTGATTAAAACAAAGGTAATCCCCTCAACCAATTCACATTTAATGCTCCATACACTGTGATGATGGAGAGGTGTTGATTTCTCAAGTGGTAAATCAGAAGGGAACTGCTTTCAAATGCACTGTAATTGTTTCTTCACTTTAAAGCAAATCTTATCTGACTTTCTGGCTCAGTTGCTTCCAAAGTGTCATAAGAGGGGCATTCCTCTAACGCCATATATTTGAATTATACATGTATCTATGTGTCTGTGGCTGAGCCTGTCTGATTCTTAATTTCAACATTAAGTTGGGGGATTATTGGTCATTGGAGCAATTTATCTCATATGACTTTCTCATGTTAAAAATGAATGAGAGGTGGGATTCTTCTGTCCAATAGGCAATACTGAGTAAATATGAGATTGATTTATATAAAGCCAAACAGAAAGAAGTAATAAGCTCAGATGTGTAATCAATATAGAGGAGGGATATGTTTTGTTTCTGATGATAGTTTAACTGAATTAGGAGGAAGAATCCTCACTGTTATTTCAAGATCATATTTGAAAAAAAAAAAAGAGAAATGGAGATTGGTTAAAATTTCATGGAAATCCCACAGTGCAGTGAACTAGGGATGTTTAAAGTAAGACTATTGTACAGCCTGTATCAGTTGACTTAGGCTAGCAGATCTCAAGGAAATTAGAGTTGCTTTTCCAAAATCCAGGAGTTCAAGTTGTCTTTTCTCCCACCAGATAATTTTGTCAAAACACAGGAGAACAAATCAGCCACTTCAGACAGGTATAATCTGCTCTTTGGCCAGCACCTTCTACAATATTGCTGTGAAAAAGACTTCTCTTATCTCCCCAGAGTTGAGGCCTCAGCCGCAAATTGATGAGGTCATCCCTCAGTGTTTCACAAGCACATTTCTTACCCATCAGTCCCCTTCTTCAGGTTGCCTGGGTAACACAGATCACCTGACTGACATGTCTGATTCCTCTAACCTACCTTTTTCAACTTCACCACACCTTCCTGTGTTTCATAGTCTGTTGTGATTTCAAACAGTTCTATGCCATCTCCATCAACGATATTGTACGTGACTAAGCCATTTTCTCCAATGTCTGGGTCTTTAGCCTTCACTCTTCCTACTTCCTCCCCCGGGACAGCTGCTTCTGAAACAGACATCTGGTACACGCCTGAAAGAAGAAGACATCTACTTTTATTTTCCTTTTTATTTGGCAGTTGTAAGACTTGAGATTTCATTGAATTTCAGTAAATTTCTCAAAGGGTTTAAAATTGAACTTTCTATTGGCAGAACCTGGAAGAGAAGTGGATGGATGGGAAGAGAGTCCCAGATGGCCTGCTTGCTAGAAGAATGTGTTCTTTACAAAATGATAAAACAATATTGGGGTCTTGGGTGAGATGATGGGGTCACCTGTTACATGAGAGAAAGGAAAAGAGTGATGAAGAACTATGAAAGACTCCACATATATGAACAGCTGAGTCTACCTTTGGTTTTTTCACAATATCACACAAACTATTTCCAAGGTTTCCCTCTACCACTGCTAATTGCTCAAGGAGGAGCAAAAGCAGAAAGGCAAAATCACCCCTATATTTTAAAGCCTTCCAGCACTTCATAATTATTTTAGAGATAAATAAAAATCTTATCTTTCAAAATTATCTCTTTCTTACAGATATATTTGTCTCTCATCTTACCCTTCCCACTAGGTCAGGCATGGAATTCTCTGGAAGCATTTAGATATTCTACTCCCTCCATATTTATATTTATATTAATCAGAAATATAAATGATGCCACACAGTGAAATTTATACTTATCAGGAATATAAATGATGTAACATACTCCTTTGGCTCTGAAACTTGGTAATAAAAAGAGCTTTATGATTCTTCCCTTAGCAGAGGTACAGAAAAAAGAAAATGCATCTATATACATTATGATGTTATAGGCTAATAATAATTTGTGGTAAGGGATAAAAGGTAGTGTGTGTGTGTGTGTGTGTGTGTGTGTGTGTGTGTGTGTAGTATTTACATTACACAAGTGTATAGGCAATTAAGTTTGTGCCTATGCTATATATGAGTGACTGTACATATGGAAGTGTGAGATAAATGTTTTTCTATACAGATTAATGTGAGTGGACACATATCACTGTTTGTATGTGTGGGTGAGGAGACCTGGAAGGATAGAAGGAACTGAACAAGATAAGTGTAGGAATATGTGTAACATAAGTTAGAGGGCCAGGAACAACAAAAGTCAGAGAACCTCATGTGAAAAAATTCTGAAAGGGTACAGGATAGCAAGGACAAGAGTAAGAGTGGGACCTCTGTTACAGGACAATAATAGGTAGGAAGGTGGTATTCAAAAGTGCACTTTAGAAAATAGACAAGATGTTGAGTTTTATTTAGGAAACAACTGGACAGTGTTCAGTATATCAGTGACATCTGATATATGTCATATGACACTTTGGAAAGGCAGTCTATAAGTTTAAGTTTAAGACACACTATAGAGAGATGGAACCCTATCCTCCAGTGTTCAATCCAATGGTACTGGCTACATCCCCTATCCTCTTCATTTCCTCTCTCAGCTGCAGTGCTGTGTTTCCTTTGCTTTTATATTACACCCCCTTTCAACTTAATTTTGCATTCTTTTCACATTAAAGGAATAGTTAGAGAGTCATTCTGTAGAAATTATCAATATATAACAAGGTTTAGAAGACCCACTATAATGTGATTTTCTCCAAATCCCATTCAAGTCCACAGCTGTGAAACACTGACACTGGAATGGTAGCGACATATTATTTATTTGACTCCTTATAAGAAAGTATATTAATGACCACCCACAGATAATGCTGTCTACCCCTTTTTTTTCTGACGTAGTGAACAATTGTACAGAATGGACTATGCAGCTTTGACAGCATTGTATGAGCCTCAATTCTAGCAAAGTTGTATAAATTTCAATCTGAGCAGGAAGAGCAAGGTTACTCCACCTCTTTTGGAATCCCCAAAAGCTGATATGTGTCTCAGAATCCTCTCCTTTGATATCTCTACTGTGTAGATTGTTACCTTTGGATTCCTTTGAATAACCAAGATGTCTCTTAAAATGACTTACTTTCGGTTAATTTGTACTTTTAAGATTGTGTCTGTGTATGTGTATTTATCCCTTTGAGTTTGCATTATGTGTCAGGGAACGTGCCTGCAGAGAAGAGAAAGGGAGTCAAATCCTCTGTATCTGGAGCTACAGGTAAATTTTGAGCTTCCTGATATGGGTGCTGGCCACTGACTACAAGTCCTCTACAGGAAGAGGCTCTAATGAACAGGATTCTCATTGTGACTGTTGTTATTCCATTACTAGAAACTGCAGAATTATTACGACTATGTTATAACTCTACATTCACCTTTGTACACAAACATATTTGTGTTAAATTATGGTTTTGGAAATTCTTTAGGCCACTCATTGTACTTTCCATAGAATCCCCATTTTTATATATAAAATGTCACCTTATGTTAAATATTTATAGTATTAGTAACCACTAATTAAATGATGGTACAATTAGCATCTATTATTAAGTTCAGTATTTCTATACCATTTTATCAAAAAAGTTGTTTAATTTGGTGCTGGAGGTGGCTGCTCCTTGGTTAAGAGCTCATGTTTCTCTTCCTGTGTACCAGAGTTTAGTTCCTACCACCCAAACCCGGAAACTTATAAACACTTATACCTACAGTTCTAAAGAAATCTGACATCTCTGGCTTCTGTGGATACCTTCTCATAGATATATGTATCCCACATAGGCACACTCACAAACACATAATTTATAAATTTATCTTATTTTTAGTTAAGAATATATCTATGCCTATGGGCACAAGAGTGCATGTACAGCAGAGACCAGAAGAGAAAGATAGATCCTCCTGGAGCTGAATTACAGGCAGGGAGGAGCCACCAATATCAGTATTCTAAAAAAGTAGTATATATTCTTAACTACCTAGCCATGTCTTTCGCCCTTTGTTCATCTTTATTTCCCTCATTAGTTTCGTAAATTATGTACAATAATAAAAATAACAATGGCTAAACAATTTTTGCCAATTTTTTTCAGATGATGTAAGAATCAGCACTAGCTGGGTTAATACAAACAATAATAATTATATTTAAATTACATACTAGGATGTCATCTTAAAATAGACAAGAATATCTTGCATCCTACAGGCCTCTCTTCAACATTATATTATGGTCCTTCCATAGAAAGGTGAGGTCTGGACGAACTACTCTTAAATGTTGGCAGCTTAATGGGTACAGTGAAAGAAGCCACGTGACTTCTGCAGTCATTTCAGAGAAGGCAATGCAGTTGGTTCCTGTGGTCTTGGAGTTCTTATGATCAGAACTCAGCCACAGAAAGGCTCATGTGGAGAGGAAGCAAAAGTCAATCTCAGCTTGCCAGCCTTGTAAGTAATCTTAGAAGTGGGGCTTTCAACCTCAGGTGAGCTGTCACCAGCCAATGCTGGAGTGAAAATAAAGGAGAAATTTCTCCTAAGCTTTGCACAAATTGAAAAGTCAAGGCACAAATAAATTATTATTTTAAATCTCTAATATTTGGGGCAGTTTGTTATGGAACAATAAACAGTAGATCAAAGTACTGTTAACATACAGGATATTAATGAAGACAGGGAGAGAAAGGGTAATTGATTTCTACCTTGCATGACTAATAACCTAGTAACTAAAATACCTAGAAACACAGATTTTCTGTCTCTGGAGTTACAGAGCTTTTAATATCTTCCTTTCTTCTCATTATCCCTATACTATCTAACTTTCTTTTGTGTGTTTCTAAATAAGTTGTTATCTTGGTTTAGTCTTTTGCAAGAATGATGAAAAAGGTTCATGGTTTTCTAGACTTTTCTTTTTGAAAGCTGAATAAATTCAGAGTAAGTGAAAAGATGAGGATCTGGCTGTACAGTAGTAAAATGCCAACTTCAACTACTTACTCTGTGGAAACTTTGGTGGGTTGTCATTGACATCAGTCAGTGTGATTGTCACTTTGGTTGTCCCTGAGAGTCCTCCCATATGCCCACCCATGTCCTTGGCCTGGATCACCACATGGTACTCCTCCTTGGCTTCTCTGTCCATATTGGGAAGGGCTGTTCTGATGATACCTGGAAGGTAAGCAATAAAAAATCACAGCTATTCATTCATGACAAATTTTCAACAAGAAAAAATATTTTAGATCTTGGAAAGGTAAAGATACAAAAAAAGAATCTGTTTGCTCAAAGAAAAGTCATTTTGACATGACAGTTTTAACAGAAAGAACTTGTGCCCAAAGTACCTATTGTCAAGCAAAACTACTTCCATAATATTAATTAGTTTTGTTTTTACTAGTCATGTAAGTAACAATCTCAGGCACAAGAATCCTGAACATTAAAAGGACAAGTGCCTAGTGTATGTCTTTACATAACTGAATCCATATTTCTGAACTTCTAACAAAAACCTTCAGGAATCTAGTCCTACATGTAATCATTAGAAACATTTTTACATCCCATACAAAGTTTACAGAGGGGCCATAAATTTTATGCAATACATTAAAATCCTTATATTGATTTTTTAAATAAGTGAACTGATGACTAATAAAGATGAGCAAAGCTTGTACAAAGATTTGGTCTAAAGCCACCTGTCACTGACAAGCATGATAAATTATTGAATTATTCATGAATCCTGTACATTGAAACATTATTTGCATGAAAAGCATGCTAACATACATCTCCAGGGATCATATGGAAGTGTTCACACTCAGTGAATAAGGTAATATCTGTAGCATAAATACAAAAAGCAAAGAGGAAGTGTTGGTCTTTGCTATGCTTTCCCAAGCCCCAATGTTGACTTGTTTCTTTGCAATACCCTGGAACTGCTGAGACCTTATTTTCCTCATATGCTAGATAGTTTTGTATGTATCAATTGGTAGTTACTAGCCCCAGCTCCCCAAGACAAAGATTAGAGTTTTTCAACATGTGTAAATCCCTAGATGAATCCCATATTTATCCTTGGTTTAACTAAAAATTAGTGGCAAATGGCTTTATGAAACCATAGACAATAACTAAACAAGTTGTTGTTTGCAGCAGAATAGTGAAATGAATTAATGCATAGATAGGTAGTAACTAAACAAGCAAATGAGAAAGTACCAAATCAGGAAACAATATGTAAAAGCTAAAAATTTTATGAAAATGTCCCTGTTATAATAATATGGATGACCAGTTTCATAGGATTGTAGTGTTTATTCTTATTGAGAATCACATTTGATATAAATGAAGAACAACACGGTTTTAGTTTGTGTTGTGTATTGATTCATTTTGTTTGTTTGCTCTTTATTTCATAACATCCTTTGAGAATCTATTGCACAGCAAGTGAGGACGCAAATGTGCTGAATCTTCCTGTAACATGAACATTAACCATTACTCCTGACACTGCTGAGTTTACCCAGTGGTCTTCCAAAGATACTTTGAAACTTAACTACTTTATAACAGTTTCTGTGTCATTTTAATATGGATCCACAATTTAAGACACTTCTATCTCATAAGTTGAATTTTAAAATATTCATCATTATGAGCTAGGTCACTAATAATTGGGTTTTGCACCATTCAGCCATATGCCCAGCATGTGTATAGGCTTTCAGACCCTCATACTAACCCGCCAGAGTGTCCCCTTTATTTCCTTCAAGTTTAAGGGATTTTATAGCCAAAGCAATTAAATGAACAGGGATTGACTCCTTATTGACTCCAATGTGCCACTGCTCATAATGATAATGCAATCCACTATACCTGTCTGGGCCTCCACTGAGAAGTAGGGTTGTCCTTCAAGAATACTATACACTAACTTGGCACTATTTCCATAAGTGGGGTCGTCTGCATCGGAGGCTGTCACTTGGATTACTGAAGTTCCTAAAAGGGGAAACAAAGCAATGAGCAATACCCACTAAACTTTTCAAATACATCAGTGTTTACAGAATTTCCTTTAATTTCAAGTCCTGAACAGTGGCCCAAAACTAGTCAATATGGTATTATTTTACATTATTTTCCTGAAGTTCATGGGCAAAACACGCCCCTCCATTTATTCTTCCTTTTCTCATTTTCCTCTTACATTTCTTTTTAATTCTCATGGCTTAAAACTAAATTTTCTATACTCACAGTGCCTCCAGTCTGGCTGTATAGTTAAAATAATAATATGAACATCCCTGTCGAACATTCTTAGAACTATGTGATGGAAATATTCAGTATATCAGATAATTAAATAAAAATCTTCCCAGAGAGTGTAATAAATGATAATTAGCAATGAATTGCTTTTGATGAAAGGACAGAGTGCACTCTCCTATCTGTAACAACTGATACATCATTTTATTGTTGCTTTGCCTGTAATAAAATTACTTCTAATACTAAATTTTAATTAATTTATGGCTATACATATTATATGGAATTCTGTTCCCTACTGGCATGAAAATTGCATTTTTCCAATCTTTGTTGGGTCTGGTAGATATGCAATAGAAATCATCAGTGAGCACCCAATTGGATCTAAAAGACAAATTCCTATATCAGAAGAAAGGGAAATCAGGAATAGGATGACAGAATCTCACAGTAACAGTCTGGGAAATGGTATGTTGATCATTAGAGTAGAGAGAAAGGAGATGGAAGGAGGGAAGAAGCAATTATCCAATTTATCTCTGCCAAGCAGTGTTTGGGTTAAATTCCATGTAAAGTGTTAACATTCCTCCGCTAGACATTTTGCATCTATTTTACTTGGGGAATATTTGGTATAAGAAATATGACATATTGAAGTCTCTTTCAAGGTAATTTATTGTCAGAGTCAGGAGTCTAATCCAGTTCCATCAATAATAAGACCCAAAGTCGTTCTCTGTCATTGTCCAGCAGAGGCAGGGTTCCTCCTGTCAGGTACAGAACTCATCTACATGGCTTACAGATAGGGCAGACAAAGGACAGGCCAAGAAAAAGTGATGGAAATGAAGAATCATCCTGGCTTTTACTCAGTAACAGAAGACCTTAGTTTGCATGTAGGACAATGGCATTTCTTTCATTAGAGCTTCACACACATACTGGAAGGTCCTTAGACTCCTACAGTCACAGCTGACACTCTTAAGTAAGGTAATACTCATATTCAGTGCTTGTTTTTCTCATTTGTAAAATGAATACCTATCCCTGATTGTCTTTATATTCACTCAAGGTCAATGGATCAGACAGCCTCAAAAGACCATAACCATGCATTCTATAAATTCAAATGGAATTGATACCTAGGAGGCAGCTACTTGAGAAACATTTAGAATTCCATCGCTGAGAAAAGCAATGTGTCTTTAAGTGTATTGAGATTATCAGATGATGACAGTGTTCAATGCATGCTGGATGGACTAAGTAGTACAAGTGAACCTGTAAAATTAATTGTTTCTGCTTTTGTTTCTCATTTATACATGGCCAACTAGATCAACTGCTTTGCAAAATTTAATTATGGCCAAGTTAAGCTCAATAGGTTAGGTTCACAATCAATTAGCACAAATCCCACATGCAACAAACATTATCATTGCTGTTACTTATTGAACATCAATATGCAATAGTGATTGGATGCATATTATCAATACTCCTTGAAGATGGGAAATTGTTAGTCTCATTCCACAAAGGAAGAAATGATATTAACTGGTGCCACATCACACAGCTGACACTCCAGTTCAGAATTTGCTAAACTGAATCATAATATCCCCCTTAAACTCTTCACAGTTAATATCTCTTGACTTCACAACCTCAAGTCTGTTATGAAGATTTAAAAATTCAAGTTTCTGTGTCTATATCTGCTTTATGTACCTTTTCTTGGGTCCTTTCCCTTCTGTTTGTTTCTATTGTCCTATTTCCAAGCATTAGATTTTGTTATATCTTATTATATTTTCTTTTATTGTTATCCCTCAGTAACCTGTTTCTTTTCTACTGAGAGACAAAAATAGGAGGAAGTCAGACGGGAGGGGATACAGGGATGAACAGGGAGGAGTAGAAAAAGAGGAAACCATAATCAGGATATATTGTATAAGAAAGGAAACTATTTTTAATACAGGAAAAAAATCCAACTAGGCAATGTTTTCCTTGTTAATGTTCAATAAAGATGCAACACAAGCTCTGGCTCCTGAGTTGGGAGGACAAGCACTAGCCTGTCCACCTGCAGAGACATCAGCTAGAAGTGGAGTAGGTGAGCCCCACTTACGCACCCACATTGGACCTCTCAGGCACATTGGCGTGATAGGTTTCATGCAGAAACTCCGGAGGGTTGTCATTAATGTCCTGGACCTTGACAATGAATTCTGATGGTGGTTCCAGTGGCCTGTTGGTGTCCCTGTCCACTGCCTGAGCCATCAGAGTGTACTGGGCTCTCTCTTCTCGGTCCAGTGTCTTGGTGGCATGAATGTTCCCTGATTTGTCATCAATCACAAAAATGGTTCCGGCTCCTTCACCTGAGAGAATGTATTTAATGTTCCCATCACCAGAGTCAATATCAGAATGAAGCTAGAAAAAGAGAAAACAGGATTTGTAATTTTATAAGGAACACAATAAAAACTCACAGGCTGATTGCTACACTATGTACACATATGTGCATATGCATAAACACACACATATATCATAAGAGCTAATCATTTCCTCCAACTTTTTCTGAATGTTGAAAACTGGTCTTGGAATACTGCCATGGCTAAGGTCATTAAGTTGGGTTCTGATGGGCTAATATATAAATACATTTTTAATTCTGAAATTCAATGTTCTTCCTCTCTCCTTTTCCCTACACACATACACACACACACACACACACACACACACACACACACATATGTGTACATGCATACAAAAGAGATAAGACATATCTGCATCAATATTTATTTTGAAAGAAATGCATACATATATATTTGAGGTAAACATGAATTCATGCAGTATCTTCCTCTCAATTTTTACTCCCTTTCCTTCTCTAACTAGAAATACCATTTTTTACCAATTTCTTATGACCCCTCTATGAGACATATACAAGCTTATCTTCACAGATTCATAAATGTTCCTCACTTAATTTCACATAATACCAGGCCAGAGACTACATATTATTCTTGCAGGTTCCTCTAATTGTAACATCTGTAGCCCCTTCAACATCCATATTCAGGGGGGCTTCTTTATGATACTCCACTTGATATTGTTGTCATTTCTTTCAGAGATCCTCCTCAAAAGACATTTGTATTGTCCAGGTTTTTTTTTTTTTTGACTACAAGTAATTCAACTAATCAGACTTTTACAGCTGCTTTCTAGTACTCAGGGTCTAATCTGGGCTGTTATCTTCTTAGAAGAGTCTCCGATGACCACAAAAGATGGTGAAACAGGGTGATGGACATGTAGTCCTTAGACGCTTGAAATAACCTCCAGTAACCTTGGATTTTTCACTTTTTTCCAGAGAATTTAGAGATATTTTTTGCCTAAATCTATATTGACTATGATCAAGAATCCATTCTTTTCAGTTAGACACCTTTTCTACTAGCTCTGCCCCAATTGTGCTCTGTGATTCAGAGCACACTTCACTATTTTTTCTTCAGCAATAAACTCCCTGCACTTTCTTTTCATCATCATGATTTTTTTTTTGGTTTTTTTGAGACAGGGTTTCTCTGTGGCTTTGGGGATGTCCTGGAACTAGCTCTTGTAGAACAGGCTGGTCTCAAACTCATAGTGATCAGCCTGCTTCTACCTCCTAAGTGCTGGGATTAAAGACATACGCCACCACTGCCCAGCCATCAATCATGATTTATGAGTTCCTTAGCCTCCATTATCTCCTCTTATAGGAAAATATAAATGTTATTTTCATTGTCTTATAGTATTGAAAATTAGCTAAGACATTTAAAAATATCCATTGAGTAAACCTGTTGCATATGAAAATTCAGCAAAAAATAAACATTCACAATAATAAAATTATTACTAATTTTCATTGAATATTTAATGAAATTTAATTTAATATTTTTACAAATATCATTTCTTTACTTTCAGCAAAATTTCTATCATTATTATGAAACTACAGCCTACATAGCTTGCTCAAGGTTCACAAGAAAACAACATGAATATACTACTTTTTAAAATGTTTGTACCATTTAAATTTACCAAAAGATATCTAATTTATTTGTAGTGTTTTAGTGAAACATCAAATATTTCAGCTTAGAGGTAAACACAAAGACCATTTTGGTGGAAGACTCCAGGACTTCTAGAGCAGGGAAAGCAAACAAACTTTACTTTAAAACTTGTTAGATTGAAGCAGAAGTAGAGACCCACTGAGACAAAATAATCCACCATTTTAATAAAATATGGCTGATGTATTTCTTAAGAATTTGGCCACTTTATAGACTTCAAGTGAACAATCATCATTCCATTTTCTTCATTGTCTGTGTTCCTCTCTCTTATCCTATCTAGGATTGTTGTGTTCCTTTTTGAACTCTCTGCTTCACAAGTGTCAGAAGATAGAGGTTTAGTCCCATGAATGAGGGATGAAGAAATAAATATGAATGTCAAGCCATTGCAAGTTTCTAAGCGTCTTCACACATTGCATAGGAAAACAGAGAAATGCAATTCAGAATGATTCAAGTACCTGAAATGTTTACCAATCATTCTCTTCATCATGTTTCTCCTTTGTTTCTACTCCCTCCAAGATTTAAAAGTTGGATAAGCATTCCCTAGTTTTCCTCTCACACAAAGATAATCTATTATATTGACAATACTATTTATTAGGTTCTACACAAAAGCAGTTTGGGAACACAGAAAGCACTATCAAGGGTCCAGTTGCAGAGGCATGCACAGGCAGTTCCTGACGCCAAAGACTGATGGCTTCTCTCATTGCACAGAACAGCATGACACGGGCTAAATTTCTGACATGAAAACTGCAAGTCTTTTTGCTTTGCCAAATTCTACCTTTTCAGGGAATTTTAAAGCATTCAACCTTGAATGTCACAATTCAAAGGTTGTTAGAGAAAAAGCAAACCATTGCTCTGACTTGAGGGAGATCCATCTCAGCACTATTTCAAAAGGAAAAGGAAAGATTTGTCAGATCCAGCTACACACACACACACACACACACACACACACACACACACACCATCTAACCAACATTCATTTGGGAGACTAAATTTTCAAAATCATACAGGAGATGATGCCATGTTTCCCCTTCTCTTCATCCCTGTGTTTCTCTCTAGTAGTACAATATTTGCTAGATCCAGAGAGGAGAAAACTCATCTGACTCATTAAGTGTTGTCTTCTCTGCAACCACCAAGTCTCAACACACACTGTTCCCCTCTAAGGCAGAGACAAAACAGAAGGTCATTTTTTCAGGGCAGTTCATGCCCAGCTCTGAACATTGCTCAGATTACATTGCCTCGCCTTTCTGGACTGTCTTTTTCCTTTCTGTGGACTAGCACAACACTTCAGCCTATGAAGTTTGCTTGTCTAATATTTCTCTGTTTTTCCATTTTATCAAAACTGTTTTCACTTTATGTATACATGAACGAAATTATTTAGTACGTCATTTCTAGAAAACCTATTCCCAGCTCTGAATTATGTTGAGATCATCACAAACACTCATGGAGTATAAAAATCAATGATATAAAAATAGAATGCTGTTTTCATATAAAAGAACAAGTAAGGCAACTTTGTTGCCATCCTTGGGGTTCAAAAGGTGTGTATCTCTACCATCTATGTTTATATTTATTCCTCTATGTTGAACTATTTCTGTTTACCTTTCAGGTCAGAAGTTATTAGCTGAGTACCCTCTATTTTTCACAAATATTAGGGACATAAATTCATAATGATTAAATTGAATTTCATTACTCTTCTCATTCTAGCTGGAATTTTTCTTTCTTAATTGAATGCATGACTGCCTCTTTTTCCCTATGTTATTTAAGGTCAGGTATTGCTTTACCCTGATTTATCCTCTGCCTATCACTTCTTTCTCCACATAGTATTGCCTCAATTTGTGTGTATGGAAATACCTGTCTCCTAATAGCTATTGTCAGTATTATCTAAAGGACACACATATTTTATTTTAATAAATAGTAAGAGGTCAGTTTGCCAAGTATCTTTTTGGACTCTCCACATCTATATTTTTGATGCTTTTGCATAACAAATACAAAACCTAAGCAGAAGTAGAAATCTAGGTCTGAAGGTAATAAGGATAAATCACTCCTATACTAAGGACACACAAAAATTCATATCCTTGCTTTTGGGGTTAGTACCAAGACTTGAGGATTTGGAGGTAATCTAATCCTTCATACAAAGTAGAACAAAATTTGGTTAAAGAGCAAGGTATGAGTGAAACAGAAAGGAAGCTATGATGACAGTGTACAAGGAAACATGAGAACATTAAAATGGGGACAGGCAAGTTGGAGTTAGGATATAATCAGAGAAATTCTCCAGTTGAAGAATGATTCAGTAAATTAAGGCAGTATTTCTTTCAATAGACTACAAAGCAATTTTTACAAATAGAGTTCTTATGATACAAGAAGAGGAATTTAGAAGCGTTCTCAGTGTGGATAAGTGTATGAATGAGGGAG